ATGCCTGCCACACCGCAAGCCATGTCCCTTAAAGAAAAAAAGATATTGATCTGTAAGCAGGCAAGACATTTGTGAAGGGAGCTACAAGTATTCAAAAAGCACAGAGTTCTATTAGATATTTACTACAATTGCTTCACAGCAGCTACTTCCTTCAGAAAAATCCTACAAAAGTTTTATTTTTGTAGGAGACACTTACTTGATGTCATTCAACATCAAAGATCAACCAATGCACTCTTAAGTTCTAGAGTAGATGTATTTATCATTACCACCCAGTAAATAGGGTAACAGAATCAACGCTAAGAAGCTAAAGTAAATCTCAAGATTTAACAACAAAGAATAAAAAGACAGGCCGGCCACAGTGGCTCACGTCTGTCATCCCAGCACTTTGGGAGGCTGAGGTAGATGGAGGGCTTGTGCCCAGGAGTTTGAGAACAGCCTGGGCAACATGGCAAAGTCTCATCTTAACAAAAAATAAAGGGGCTGGGCACGGTGGCTCACGCCTGTAATCCAAGCACTTTGGAGGCCAAGGTGGGTGGATCATCTAAGGTTGGGTGTTCAAGACCAGCATGACCAACATCGTCAAACCCCGTCTTTAAAAAATAAAATAAAATAAAAAATAAAAAAAATAACTGGGTGTGCACCTATAGTCCCAGCTACTTGGGAGGCTGAGGTGGGAGGATCACTTGAGCCCAGGAGGCAGAAGTTGCAGTGAGCCAAGATGGCATCACTGTACTCCACCCTGGGTGACAGACCAAAAATCTGTCTCGGGAAAAAAGATTGTGCTAGACAGACAGACTGCTCTTGAGTAGTATCCATTTCCTAAGGCCTGGCTTGACAGAGGTGACAGAGGACAATGACAGGAGGGTTTAAAGCCTGTCTACAGAACACAGGGTTTTGCTCCTATTAGAGGTGTATTTCCCTTTTTTTTAAGACGGAGTTTCACCATGTTGGTCAGGCTGGTCTTGAACTCCCGACCTCAGGTGATCTGCCCGCCTTGGCCTCCAAAGTGTTTGGATTACAGGCGTGAGCCACCACGTCTGGCCATATTTCCCCTGCCCCCCCCTTTTTTTTTTTTTTTTTTGCTTATTTCCTGAGGGTTGCCCTGGCTTTCTTATAGCCAAGACTTGTGCTGTGACTATGCCTAGCCATGCCTGCTAGCTGTCGAGTGGGCCCATTAGAGGCTCTGTGGAGGGGTGACACCACTTTGAACAAATGAATCAAAAGGCCCTGATAATCAGCATTTACCAAGCCCATCACTGAAGGGAAAGGCTCTAATTAGCACAGCCAGCTCTCCATGAGCTGCACAGTTAAATTCTCACAAAGTGTACAAGGCTTGGCTAAATTCTTCCCAGACCTCCAGGAGGCTTGTTCTTTAGTAAGATTCAGTATAGTGCAACAAAATCCTGCATAGCTATTCTAAACAATACTTTGAGGACCTACTATATGCCAAGCACTATACTATTGTATTTCATTAAACTGCCACAACCACTTTAGGAGGCTCTGAGGCCCAAAGAAATAACTGATGCAAGGTCACACAGCCTGTATGGGTGAGGCCTGGACTTGAGCCCAAATCTCTGTGACTAAGTCTGTACTTTTATCATTACACAATGCTGGCTTCTCCACTAAGTGTTTGCTCTGCACTTAAAAGGAGTGACACCTGGTACCAGGCCTCAAAGAAGTTTCTTGTGCCTCAGCCTCCTGAGTAGCTGGGATTACAGGTTTGTATTAACACATCCAGGTAATTTTTGTATTTTTAGTAGAGACAGTTCCGCCATGTTGGTCAGGCTGGTCTCAAACTCCTGACCTCAGGTGATCTGCCTGCTTCCCCCTCCCACTGCTGGAATTACGGGCACAAACCACCATGTCTGGCCTAATTTTTAAAAGTTTTTTGTAGAGACGGGAGGTCTTACTGTTGCTCAGGCTGGTCTTGAACTCCTGGTCTCAGGTGATCCTCCCACCATGGCATCCCAAAGCGCTGGGACGACAGGCATGAGCCACCATGCCCGGCCCCGACAGGCAAGCCCTACCTCCAACCTGTCCTGCTCCCCACCGCTGAGCACAGGTCTGGGGCTTTGCCATCAGTTCTGCCCCCTGAAGAATCTGGAAGGAAAATATTGACACAACCTACTCCTACCTAGACAGGAGGAGCCCCAGCCGGATGACAGCATTGCTGGTGCGCAGGAGCCAGGATACAGCTCCCGCTGCCGTGTTGGGAACATGAGTGTTTGCCACATAATGAGATACTCAACACGGCCGCTGGGGCCGCATGGTGGGCCGAGCCACCCATTCACCATATCTGCTGTTAAACAGGATCTGCACACACTCCTGGAGCGTGTTAATGTCTTCGGTTTCCTTTATGAAGGCGTCCCACTTCTACATCAAAACACAGGAGGCACAAGTGAGCAGGGCCTTCCAGGCTGGTGGCATGCCCTCCACTGGCTGTGACCCCTGGGCTTTCACCTCCAGAGCCCCCGAGGCAGGCCCCAGCCCTGAGCCCTTCCACCCTCTCCCACCTCATGTATACTCCCAGGGAGTGTACCTGAAGTCAGGGTGTTCTGATGCTGCCCCATTGTCCTCTCCTCCTGCCCTGACATTTGCCTCTGGCCTCTCCCATGAGTGTGGTGTCGGTGCTGGCTCAGCCTGTCCATCCAGAGTTCATCCTACCCCAGACATACAGGCTGGAAGAGCAGTCCTCACAGCAGAAAAAGAAGTCAAGTCTCTTTTTTTTTTTTTTTTTTTTTTTTTGAGACAGAGCTCAGTCTGTCACCCAGGCTGGAGTGGCGTGATCTTGGCTCACTACAACCTCCATCTCTAGGGTTCAAAAGTGATTCTCCTGCCTCGCCCTCCTGAGTAGCTGGGATTACAGGTGAGTGCCACCACACCAGGCTAATTTTTGAATTTTTAGTAGAGATGGGGTCTCACTATGTTGGCCAAGCTAATCTCAAACTCCTGACTTCAATCAATACATCTGCCTTGGCTTCCCAAAGTCCTGAGATTACAGGTGTGAGCCACTGTGCCTGGCCACGTCCACACCTTTCTGGGCTGTTAAACAAACACTGCCATTACCAATCTATGTCCCCATTTTCTGCTCTGCCAGAAGGAGAGAAAATAGGCACCCCCCCACCCCTGCTCCAAGGAGGCTGTGGGTTGCAGTCAGGGGGTTCATGCCAGGCTGACTGCAGGCCAGGATGGGGACCTGAGAGTACTGGTGGATCCTTGGGGAATGTGCTAGAAGCTGCATTGGAAAGGAAATGAGATGAGGGGCCTGTGGCTCCCCTCCCAGCTTGGAGCCAGTTCTCTGGTATCTGCAGAGCTTGAAATAAACCAGCAAAGTTCCTGATGCTATAAATAGCAGCTCTGCCTGGCTCCAGAAGCCAGGTCCACTGCCCCATGCCCTGGAAGCCTGGGGCCACAGGACCTCTGCTGTTCACTCTACCCAGCCTCCAGTCCCCCATCCTGGCCTGGGAGAGGGTCTAGGCTCTGAGGGCTGAGTGGGGCTGGCTGGGGGCATGGCTGCACCCCAATAATGATAGGCCCAGAACTGGGGGATGCCCTTCCCTGAAACAGCTGATCTTAGGGATGTGATATGAATACTAACAGCAACAAGAGCTGGTGTCTACTGAGTGTGAACCAAGTGCCAGACACAGCCCTAAGTGCTTGCCAGGTATGAATTCGTTTAACCCTCAGACCCACCCGTTCTCCCCTTTCACAGATGAGCACGTTGAGGCACAGCAGGTGTGGACCCAGGCGGCCCGTTCCTTTTTTATTTTTTGAGACAGAGTCTCACTTTGTCACCCAGGCTGGAGTGCAGTGGCTCAATCTCTGACCACTACAGCCTCCACCTCCAGGGTTCAAGTGATTCTCCTGCCTCAGCTTCCAAGTAGCTGAGTTTACAGACACATGCCTGGCTAATTTTTTTTGTATTATATTTAGAGATGAGGTTTCACCATATTGGCCCAGCTGGTCTCAAACTTCTGACCTCGTGATCTGCCTGCCTTGGCCTCCCAAAGTGCTGTGATTACAGGTGTAAGCCACACTGGGCCCAGCCACTGTCCACTCTCTTAAGCTCATGCTATACCATGGTTCTTTTGAGATGGGGTCTCACTGTCACCCAGACTGGAGTGCATGGTGTCATCATATCTCACTGCAGCCTTGAACTCCCAGGCTCAAGTGACCCTCCTGCTCAGCCTCTCAAGCAGCTGGGACTACAGGTGTGCACCATCAAGCCTGGTTAACTTTTAAATTTTTTGTGGAGACAGGGGTCTTGCTATGTTGCCCAGGCTGACCTCCAACTCCTGGGCTCAAGTGATCCTCCCATTTCAGCCTCCCGAAGTGCTAGGATTACAGATTGAGCTACTTCATCTGGCCTAAGATGTGACTTAACAATGACAGTGCCTGCCCTCGGGTTGATGTCAGGATAAGTGAGTTAGCATCAGAAAGGATGCCACGCAGAGTAGGCTTTCAATAAATCTTACTGAAATATGGCCAGGCACAGTGGCTTACACCTGTAATCCCACTAGTTTGGGAGGCTGAGGTGGGTGGATCACTTGAGGTCAGGAGTTCCAGACCAGCCTGGCCAACATGGTGAAACACCATCTGTACTAAAAATACAAAAAATAGCCAGGGGTGGTGGTGGGCACCTGTAGTCCCAGCTACCTGGGGATCTGAGGCAGGAGAATTGCTTAAACCCAGGAGGCAGAGATTGCAGCCAGCTGAGATTGCACCACTGTACTCCAGCCTGGGTGACAGAGCGAGACTGTCTCATTAAAAAAAAAATGTGTTGGAATAAGTGCATTTGGTCCTGTGTTCAGGGATACATAGTTAAGAGGAAGAACTGGGTAGCAACCTTGAGCCTTTCTGTCCCCATCTGGAAAAGGCAGATGGAAGTGACTGTCTCTGGCCCACCCTGGGGTTCACCCAGCCAGTGTCTATCAACTCCAGGGCTGCTGAATGATTCCATCAAAACCCATGGCTGCTTCAATACCACCACACTGAAAATCTCAGACAACGCTGCTTGCCCAGTTCATCTCCCACACACCACCACCCTGGCTAGACAGGGTTGAGGACTCAGACAAACGCTCAAGCATCTGCTCCCAGGGAATGTCGGCCCGGCCTTCTGGTGCCCTGGGGTACTCATGGCAGAGCCTGAGGAAGTCTGACTGTAGCTCCTTCTGGGCATTCAGGAACATTCTCCCCTTCTCCGTGCCCACCATGAAGGCACTCTCATCATTCATGGCAACACAGGCCACCTTGGCATTCAGTTTGGACAGTGCTGAGCACTGTGGGAGAGCAGGGTGTGTGAGTGGAAGGAACCCTCCACTCCAAACACAGCTAGTACCGACTTCCAGGGTAGGATGTGAACTCCCAGCTGCCTCAGACTCCAGCAGTGGCTCCAGGACCCCAGCAGTGGGTCCCTCCACTGTTCTTGGTCTTAGATTTTGTAGTGGGATTGAATGAATGACCCTCCAGGGATTGGCAATGGGGGCTGGAAGAGGACACATGTTCCCTGTTCCTCCCTCCAAGGTCCTTGTCTTCAGGGAAAGCCCATCTTAGCTCCAGCCCCAGGGACAATCCCATGCTGGGCTCTCTTGGTCCCTCTCAAGTCCTGGATGAGGAGGAGGTGGAAAGAACCACAGGAGAAGTAGGGATCAAACAGATTAGGGCTGCAATCCCACCTCAGCCACTTCTGCTGCAGGATATGAGCAACTCATGTTCCTCCTCTGGACTCCAGTTTCCACATTTGTTTTTTTTGTTTTTTGAGATGAAGTTTCACTCTGTCACCCAGGCTGGAGTGCAGTGGCACAATCTTGGTTCACTGCAACCTCAACCTCCCAGGTCCAAGTGATTCTCCTGCCTCAGCCTCCCCAGTAGCTGGGATTATAGGCATGTGCCACTACGCCTGGCTAGTGTTTATATTATAAGTAGAGATGGGGTTTCACCAAGTTGACCAGGCTGGTCTCGAACTCCTGACTTCAGGTGATCCGCCTGCCTCAGCCTCCCAAAATGATGGGATTACAGATGTGAGCCACTGTGCCTGGCCAGTTTCCATGTCTGTAGAACTGGGGACAAGCAGCCCAGCTCTATGGTGCCACTGGGCTTGGGTATGGGGATTCAATGGTTGGAGGAAAAGGATCTCTAAACTGGGCCACCCTCTCTGGGTATACAGGCAGCTGGCTATGCTCATGGCCCCAGAGTTGAGGTCTGCAGCCCCATGGCACAGAGGCCTTAATGGGGGGGTCCATGCAACCAACACCACCAGCATCTCAGGTCTCTGACCTGCCTCACCAGGAAAACACTGACTGTGAAGCCTGAAGCATGCAGTTGTGCCTAATAAATGCTGGTTTTCATCTGAGTCCAGTGCTACTGGCAGCTACAAAGTCTGGCTTCCAGTTGCAGTTCTGTGCTGTGTGACCCAGGACAGGTAACCTCTTTGGGCACAATCTTGCCTCTTGTGCCAGCCCCAGCCTGGAGTCACTCTGGTTAGGAAGGTGCCTGTCCTCCAGGCTCCCTTCTGGAGAATTAATGCCCAGGGGTACTCATTTTCTTCTAAGATGCTGTGTGGGAACACTGGAGTATTAACAAAAAGTAAAACAAATAAGTTCAGCTGTTTTGGGCTGGGTGTGGTGGCTCACGCCTGTAATCCCAGCACTTCGGGGGGCTGAGGTGGGGAGATCACCTGAGGTCAGGAGTTCGAGACCAGCCTGACCAACAGAGAAATCCCATCTCTACTAAAAATATAAAATTAGCCAGTCATGGTGGTGATGCCTGTAATCCCAGCTACTCAGGAGGGTGAGGCAGAAGAATTGCTTGAACCCGTGAGATGGAGGTTGCAGTAAGCCAGGATTGCACTATTGCACTCCAGCCTAGGCAATAAGAGTGAAACTGTGTCTCAGAAAAAAAAAATTCAGCTGTTTCTCATCCATCATAGCTGAAAGAGATACTTCATCCCACAGTCACTGCTCAGCTGAGGATGCCGAGACCACAGCAGAAAACTCACCTACCCAAATGCACCCAGAGCTTGTAGGGAAGGGGACCTGAGACTGGGGACAGGTGATGAATGTACATTCCTTCAGCCCACCCTCCCTACAGGCCACCAAAGGAACGCTGGAATTTGGAGGAGGCTGGATGTAAGTCACTCCTAAACAAATGTCATTGTCACCCATGAGAGTCCCTCAGGAAATGCTTAAACGGCCCAGGGACAGAGGAAGCCTGTCTTGTTTATGCCTCCCGGATAATTATAAGATCATCTGCTCCTCCAAGCAGGCTCTGAAACACCTGCTATACCATTGTTACCTGGGAGAACTTTTTTTTTTTTTGAGACAAAGTTTTCCTCTCTCACCCAGGCTGGAGTGCAGTAGTGTGATCTTAGCTCACTGCAACCTCTGCCTCTCAGGCTCAGGTGATTCTCTCCTGCCTTAAACTCTCAAATAGCTGTAACCACAGGCACACACCACCACACCTGGCTAATTTTTGTATTTTCAGTAGAGATAGGGTTTCACCATGTTGGCCAGGCTGGTCTCAAACTCCCGGCCTCAAGTGAACCTCCCCACTCAGCCTCCCAGTGTGCAGGGATTATAGACATGAACCACTGTGCCTGGCCAACCCAGTGTAACTTCCTATGACAATGAACATATTCTACTTCTGCACTGTCCAATCCATAGGCATCAGCCACTTCTGACTACTGAGCACGTAAAATGAGGCTGAGACAACTGAACAGCTAAATTGTTTACTTTGTTTTAACTAATCAGAATTTAAATGAATTGGCTTGGCACAGTGGCTAACGCCTGCAATCCCAACACCACTTTGGGAGGCCAAGGCGAGTTGATCCCCTGAGGTCTGGAGTTTGAAACCAGCCTCTCCAACATGGTGGAACCTTGTCTCTACGAAAAATACCAGAAAAAAAAATAGCCAGTTGTGGTGGAGCATGCCTGTAGTCCCAGCTACTCTGGAGGCTGAGGCAGGAGAATCAGTGAACCTGAGAGGTGGTGGTTGCAGTGAGCCAAGATCCTGTCACTGCACTCCAGCCTGGCAACAGAACAAAAATCTCTGTATCAAAAAGAAAATGCAAATAGCCACATGTTGCTAGCGGCCATGGCATTGGCTATCACTGCCCACGTCAGCCACACCTCCACGACTGCTAAGCTAACAGTGCTTCCAGACACAGCCGAGCTCCTGGGGACCCTCCCCATGAAGGTTGCTCTGCATAGGGGAGTGTGTGGCACCCAGCCCCTTTCCCAGGGGTGTCTCCCACCTCTGCCCCAAACACCACCTAAGCAGCCCTTGAGCCACCTACAGCAGGAAGAGCTTGAAGAAGGCCCTTTGTTTTTCAGGGAGACTTTGTACCCAGAAATTAACTTTAAAAACTGGTCATGCTTCAGGCAAGGTACTACCCTTTCTGTGCTTCAGCACCCTAAAAGGCAGGGGCACAGCTAACAGATGTTAAACAGGTAATTTATTTTATTTTACTTTTATTAAAATTTTTTAAAAAAAACTGAGACAGTCTCAATCTGTTGCCCAGGCTGGAGTACAATGGTCAATCTTGGCTAACTGCAACCTCTGCCTTTCGGGTTCAAGTGATTCTTCTGCCTCAGCCTTCCAAGTCGCTGGGATTACAGGCATGTGCCAACACAGCTGGCCAATTTCGTATTTTCAGTGGAGACAGGGGTCAGGCTGGTCTCCAACTCCCAACTTTGTGATCTGCCCATCTCAGCCTCCCAAAGTGCTGGGATTACAGGTGTGAGCCACCACACCCAGCCTGCCAGGACTAGACTTTTATGTACTGAATCTCACTTAAGTCTCCCACCCTTGACACAGGCATTGTGCCCCTAGCTGCAGTCTGGGAAACTGAGGCTCAGGTCAGTGAAAGCTCCTCCAAGTGGCTGAGGTAGGACTGAGCTACAAGGCATGGTTGGGGTGCTAACCATGTCCCCTCCTCCTGGGAGGGCAGAGACACTCACAATGGAGTCTAAGGCAGACATGAGGCTGCTGATCTCATCTTTGAGGGAGCAGGCAGAGTTCCAGCAGTTAAGTCCACAGCTGTTGGCGAGGACATCATAGCACTTGCCCAGCAAGGCCATCGTCACCTGTGGGGAGGAAGGAGGCAGTGGTAGTGGGCACGAGGCAGGGGGCATGGCTCATGTGTTGACCATCCACCCCAACCCACCTGGCCCCCACACTCACAGATCTGCCACTGTATCCAAGGCCAACCTTCCCTGAGCCCAAGGGCTTTATGTGTGACAGCATTAGAGCCTGCAAAGGCCTGGGCACAGGTGGCAGAATAATTCACCTTCTGTGCCACCTCCCAAGTCTGCACCTCCAAGCCAAGCCCAGTACCAGGACCAGTCTGTTGGGCAGGGCCCAACCACCACCTCTCCCCAGGTGTGCAGGTCTTGCCACAGCCCTTCTTCCCTCATATACCCTCCATGGCTCTTTACTGCCCACATTAGTTCTTAACTCCTCAGCCTGGTATTCTAGTTTCCTGGTCTCCTGTCCCTCACTCCAATTCCCCCTCACACTCCATGCTCCAGATCCTCTAAGCTGTGCTACTCCCAGATGTGCCAGTGTTCACAGTTCCCTAATCTGTTTGGGTTCCATTCTTTCTGCCTCAACCTCCCGCCTGGCCCTGCCATGATCTTCTGGTTGTCCAAGAAGCTTTATTTTTTGGAGATGGAGTCTTGTTCTGTCAACTATGTTGGAATGCTATGGTGTGATCCTCAGTCACCTAGGCTGAAATGCCATAGTGCAATCTTGGCTCACTGCAACCTCTGCCTCCTAGGTTCAAGCTATTCTGCTGCCTCAGCAACCCAAATAGCTGGGATTACAGGTGCACGCCACCACATCCAGTTAATTTTTGTATTTATAGTACAGATAACATTTTGCCATGTTGGCCAGGCTGGTCTTTAACTCCTGACCTCAGATGATCTGCCAACTTCTACCTCCCAAAGTGCTGGGATTACAGGTGTCAGCCACCGCACCCTGCCTATTTTTAAAATTTTTAATTTAATTTTATTTCGAGACAGAGTCTTACTCTGTTGCCAAGGCTGGAGTGCAGTGGCATAATATCGGCTCACTGCAAACTCCCCTGCCTGGGTTCAAGCAATTCTCCTGCCACAGCCTCCCTGGTAACTGGGGGTGTGGCTCACGTAACGGCTGCCACCACCTGTCCAGCTAATTTTTGTATTTTTAGTAGACACAGGGTTTCACCATGTTGGCCAAGCTGGTCTTGAATTTATGATCCACCTGCCTTGGCCTCCCAAAGTGTTGAAATTACAGGCATGAACTACTGTACCCTGCCCCATCAAAGTTTTTAATTGTCCAACCTGCTGGCCCACCTCCTGTGCCCCCAACCTGAAGCCCAGCTGGGTCAGGAGATTGGGATGTCTTCCCCTTCTTTTCACATGCCTCTGAGCTTGGCCATCACATTTTTGCATCAAGCCACATGCTCCTGAGGCCAATGCCATCAGCCCCAAGGTTTCCCTCCTAGCCATGAGACTTGGCCTCAGGGATATAGAAAGATACAGCAGGGCAGAGGCTGCTTTGTCTCAGGTTGGGGGATCCCCAGGGCAGAACTCTCCCGTTGCAATGCAGTTTCTGGAGAACAGAGCTGCATCGTCCCACTCAAGTCCAAGTTCCCAGTTGTGGCTCCCCATGGCATGGCACAGGCTTGCTGGGTATAACAATGCCCAGCTGGGCACCCACAGGATACAAAGATCAGCCTCCCTCAGCCCCTGGTTCTACCCTGCCCCTCTCCTTCTTGCCCCTGCGACCACTCACAAACTGCCTCCGTGTCAGGACCTGCCCTCCTGGCAGCTATCCCTGCACCAATCCAAGCAAAGAAGGCAGAGACTAGAGGCAGAATGGCTCTGTTTCCCTCTCTGGACTCAGTCCCAATACGCTCTATGTGGCCGCTGGTGGGTGCTGATGACACAGAGCAGAGCTGAGGACCCAAAAGAGCTGTTAGCCTGGTCTCTGTCTTCCACCTGCACACAAGGAATTTCTGCACCCAACGGAGAGCAGAGCTGAGGACCCAGGAGAGTCTGTAAACCTGGTTTCTGTCTCCCATCGGCACACAAGGAGTTTCTGCACCCAACGAAGAGCAGAACTGAGGGCCCAAAAGAGCTGTTAACCTGGTCTCTGTCTTCCACCTGCACACAAGGAGTTTCTGCACCCAATGGAGAGCAGAGCTGAGGACCCAGAAGAGTCTGTAAACCTGGTTTCTGTCTCCCACCTGCACACAAGGAGTTTCTGCACCAACAGGGTGGGGCAGACCCAAGCAAGAAGGCCGTGGTGCTGGTGCCACAAAGGGCACCAGGCCTAGGGTGTCTTCTGCCACCATGGTTGCCCCTGCAGACTGTAAGCTCTTTGAGGGCAGAAACCAGGTCCACCTGCTACTGTTTGCACCCCAGGGCCTGGATCAGTGCCTGACATGCATGAGGCCTAAGGTGTGTGGTCCCAGCCACAGACAGGCCTTTCAGTAAGTCATGATCTATTTGATCATTGGCCAATGACACAGAACAGGTGTCAGAGTGCACCACACTTCACGATGCCAGAGGTGCCCAACCCCAGGGACAGAAACATCCTGAGAAATTAGAGACGCGTCAGAGCTTGGCTCCAACCTCAGTTCTGGCTCTCCTCTGCTTTTCGGCTGTGGATAAATATTAACTCAAACAAACTGGCTGGTGGGTGTTTGGCCAAAATGTACAATGAGTTTGCTGCTAAATGTTTATAAAAAGACATTTCCTCTCCCAGGTTGCAATTTTATAGACACTTGAAATCTGCTGTATTAAGGGATGCAGAGGGGATGAGAGGCCATGGATGGGACCCACAGATGAAACAAGAGGTGGCCAGTGGCCACGGCTGGGGATGTTTCATGGCATGAAGCCCGCCGGAGGGTCCTGCCTGTGACTGGACTTCATAGAAGACCTAGCTGAGAGGTCTGGTGGCCTGGAAGCTGGAAGGCGTCCCCCTCCCCCACGCATCCCTGGCCAGCCAGTCCCTTGAGCCATTCCCAGAAAGGCCTTAGGGCTGCCAGCCTCCCAGCTGCTGAGGCCCAAAATGAATCAGGGCAAAGCCGGAGGCACCAGACTGCAAACCAGCCCTGGCCTCCCGGCCGCCCCAGCCTCCACCTTCCAGCAAGGGCTCTAATCCATTTAGGAAGGAAGAAGGGACTCCAAGAGGGAGGGACACAGAGAGGGAGGGAAGGAGAGGCTGGGCTGTGGGCCATCCCCAGCTCCTTGTCCCAGTTACCCGGGCTTGTAGGACCCTCTGTACCGAGCCACAGCCCAGGTGGATGCACTTCGGGAGTATGGAGAGAGATGGCTGTTTATTGCAAATGTCCAGGGCCTCAGATGGAGGGATAGGCAGCAAGAGTGCGGCAGGGGGAGGGGGAAGATGAGACCCAGGCATGAGTGTGCTGGGACCACCTTGGGTGAGTCTTGAAACCCTGAATTTTTTAATTTGTCAAGTAGGAATAGTTCTAAGCAGAAAATTAAGGCAGAGGCTGGGTGTAGTGGCTCGTGCTTACAGTCCTGGCACTTTGGGAGGCCAAGGTGGGAGGATTGCTTAAGCCGAGGATTGCTTAAGCCAAGAAGCTTGAGGCTGTAGTGAGCTATGATGGCACCACTGTACTCCAGCCTGGGCAACAGGCTGTCTCTTAAATAAAAACTAAAATTCTGATAGCAGGGCGGGGTGTAGAGGCTCACGTCTGTAATCCCAGCACTTTCAGAGGGTGAAGCAGGCAGATCACTTGAGGTCAGGAGTTTGAGACTGCCCTGGACAACATGGTGAAACCCAGACTCTACTAAAAATACAAAATTTAGTCAGATATGGTGGTGCACACCTGTAGTTCCAGTTACTCGGGAGGCTAAGGCAGGAGAATCACTGGAACCCAAGAGGCAGAGGTTTCCAGTCTGGGCAACAGAGTGACATACCATTAAAAAATTTTAAAAGTAGGTGGGGTGCAGTGGCTCACACCTGTAATCCCAGCACTTTGGGAGTCCAATGCGGGTGGATCACAAGGTCAGGAGTTCGAGACCAGCCTGGCCGCTGTGGTGAAACCAGGTGACTACTGAAAATACAAAAAATTAGCCAGACATGGTGGCACGTACCTATAACCCCAACTACTTAGGAGGCCAAGGCAGGAGAATTGCTTGTACCCGGCAGGCAGGATTGCAGTGAGCCGAGATTGTGCCATTGCACTCCAGCCTAGATGATGAGTGAGACTCCATCCCCCGCAAAAACAGTAAACATTCTGATGGTAGCATTGGTCAGCATGAGCTACGGTCCTTCCTCCAGCATCATCAATTTTAGAGACAAGAAAGGCACTTGCCCCAGGCCCAGCCAGTGTACAGCAGGGAAGAAGGCTGTCTCCAGACACATCCTTGCTGCCACCATGAGGCAGGAGGACCACGCTTCCCACATTCACAACAGCACAGGGAACAGACCGGCTGCTCATGCGCATTGCTGACACATAGCTAACTGGGCCCAACTGGACCTTCCTAGGTTTAGCACTGAAAGTTTCATCTCCTGGGAAACCCCTCAGTCCCAGGCCACCTAGAATGGTTGGTAATCTTGAAATTCAGGGAGCAATGGGAGCAGGAGCCCAGATGTTTCTCTCAGCAGCCAAACACACAGACACTCACAAGAAAGAGAAATGTCCCAAACATACATCCTTTTGGTTCAAAAAGTCAACTTCCCTTAATAAGGTGAGAGACGTGTGTGGTCACTGTAGCACGATTCACAAGAGCAAAACCATGGAACCAACCGAGGTGCCCATCAGCAGTAGAATGGATGAAGGAAATATGGTGCATGTACACCGTGGAATACTATGCAGTCATAAAAAAGAACAAGAGCATGTCCTTTGCAGCAACATAGCTATAGCTGGAGCTCATTATCCTAAGCAAATTAACACAAGAACAGAAAAACAAATACTGAATGTTCTTGCTTGTAAGAGGGAGCTAATAGTTGTGTACTTATGGATATAAAGACAGGAATGACTGACACTGAAGCCTCCAAAAGCAGGGAGAGAGGGGAAAAGAAGGGACTCAAAAGCTACTTATTGGGTGCTATGCTCACTAGCTGATGA